TCCACCTGATGGTAAGTGGTTGCTGCGGCCCATAGACATCTACATCTATCCTCTGTTACAAATCAAAATGTAGATGCGTTGTCACCCGTGAGGACTAAGATGGAATGCCTCATTTCCAGTAAAAAAGGCCTCCGGCCACCTGCACTCACCAAGCGAAACGCAGAGGTAAACCTCTACTTCACGCTGGTTTTCTGTGAGGTCGTGGTACTACCCCGGTTCGAGCCGGCCCATCCGTGCGACAGCAAAAGCTGGCTAATTTATGGTAACTAAAATGGAGGCCTGGTAACCTGTAATTCAGGTTTTAATTACCTGCTTCAGGCATCAGCGATCCAAATGGTACTAGATAGGCCACCGTACCAAATGAAAGTTACTGATTTTTTTACCGTAGTCAACATATTAACCCACACTTTAATTGGATGGAAATACAGATGCTGTAAAATTATTCTTCACCTTTGGTGTACGCATTACGAACGATGAAGGAAGTCGTTGGGATGGGTCGTAGTATATCAACAACAAAGGGGTGTAGACAGGCCTGGGTGAAGCACGGTGACGACTGGTTATCCAATGGTGAAAGGAATAAGAAGAATAATATGTTACGTATAAAATACCCAGAATAGCAACGTAGTATAAGGATGTAAAGTCAGGAACTAGAAGATCATAATACAAAGTAGTATAATAATTTGTGGCTTGGCAGAAATGCTGATTCCAACTGTAATTTAAATTTTCAACTAACGAGGCCGATAGGTCTCCTTTTTTTTCATAGTGGAACGTATGTTTGTGTCTACCATCCTCTCTTTTGGCAAATATTAGGAATATTTGCCGCCAAGCAGTTTGTGTAGTGCCGGTGTATCCACTATCCTATATCGTCCCGTGAGTTTCATATGAGACAATAAAGGGAAACAAACCAGGAAATAGGCAGCAGCGTCTTTCTACTAACAACTAGAAAATAAAAATAACTTCATTTACTAAACCGTCTGAAAAGCGTCACCTATGGCAAATATCCACCTTATGAAGCAATCTATAGGTATGTTCCATAAATAAGACATGTCCTTATACATGCCAAGAACATTTGACACGGTCTCTTTTTCTTTAGTCGACATTTTGACACACACACGTATACCTGGCACCAGCACGCATCGAATGCAGTGATTGCCCTAATTAGGCTGTGTTAATGTATTTATGGAGTTGTCGTCAAGGGGCAAACGTGTTGCTGTATTGCTGTATTGGTCCGACCACTATCCACTGGTAGTCGAATGTAATCTGGATATACTTACGACAATTAGTTGTAATGTGGATAAACATATTAAAGTGGTTATGTTGAATATAGACCTGTAAACCGTGTTATATGGGGAAGAGATACAGTAGCAATAAATTAACCAATATCATGATCTCTGTCATGCTAAGTGAAGACTGATAGAATTTCCACAGGAACTAAACGCATATTGTGATGAGTCCTGTAATAATAAGAATCTTACCTCAGTCTTAGATAAGTTATATATAGATTTAAATAAAACTAATTTTTACGTATTTCCCGACGACACTTTATAGCACCCATGATCACAGGGTGGAGGGGGGGGGGGGCAAAGGTCTATAGGATCCCAAGCAGATGGTAGCACACACCCTTCTTCTCTATTGAAATTAGAATGTTTTATGATTTCTATAGCCTCGCGAATCTTTAACGAAGGCTTATTGATCTTTTAGTTTCTCCTATATAAGAGAGACCACATTCACAATCAAGCTTGTACACTGCTGTATCTTGCAATGGGAAATTACACTTGACTGATAGTAAAAACTGACCAATCTTCTTCAGCAGCTTGAAGCATGTTTTAATAGAAGCACGATTCAAGATGGAGCCAATCTTTTCAGTGCCACCTCTAACGTAGGCCATCGTCGAGCGAGTGCCTGCTTTACTGCCGTCAGTATAGCAGGCACTCGCTCGACTGTGGTCGGTTTCATTTTTTTAATAACTGGCTTTACGGCTCTGGGTTCTAGCCCTTCTGAGCCTGAAGTTATTAAAATGTTTAATTATCCTTCATAGTACACTGGTTCACAATATGTTGATGCGTCACATTGTGCAGCCCTTGGGAGATTTTGACGGCAAATTGAGCCAGCAGCCAACTGACAGTTGGCGATGGTATCTCAAGGCGCCTAAGCAGACAGACACCTTATCTTGAGAATCACATCACCATCAGAGCACTTGTTTTACCGTTTCCACTAATAGTTCACATGCGTAGACATTTAATACACAAAATCGCACCACTTTTACGTATCAAAATCCTCTTCAAACCATTATTTAAACAATAATACAGGAGCAGCAATCTGCCGTCGGTCAAGTTTCCGCCAAAAACATGGTCAGTTTCATTTCACTCGTTCACTGTGACGTGCTCACTCAATGAAGGAAAAATAGGGGAAATAACTCGTGTAAAAGCGATTTTTGGCATAGTTGTCTTAAACAACACACTCAAAGTGCTGATGAATGGGGGTGAAGCTAAGGGGTAGGGGGGGGGGGTGTAAAGGTCCCTTTTTCAAGTCTTTCTTAAATAACGCGTAAACGGTGGCTCATAGCAAAACATTTCTTTTACTCAAGTAATCTAAATAAAATTCTATACACTTTTTCGCTGGGATCAATATTTAATGAGATATGAAGGAAAGAAGATGGATAATAATAAAAAAAACTTACATTTACTTAAGTAGGTAAGACATTAAAACAATCTAATTATCTTCTAAATCTAAAATATCATCATCAACATCATCGTCGACGGTGTTTTCGATGGGGGCTCCGTTAGTGCATGTGCCGGAGCATACAACGCAGACACTGGAACAGGCAATTTCTGCTTTCCGGCAGCCGCATCGCACCACACACCCAGTCGTGCATCGGCAAAATATGGTGTTGAGAATGTACTCAGGTGCCACTGGATCATTTGTTGTCACCGGCTTTAGGATGCCATCGTCCCCTCTGGCCCAGCCCCATTGAGTAGGTGATAGGGGGTTGCCGAGCCATTGTTATATCTGTAAAAGAAGTAATAAGATCAACGTAAGTATTTAGCTCAAATATATATTTATATTACAGTATTTGACAACTTCTGTGATTAATGTTACCTGTAAGTACACTCTCAACGAGTGCTGCTTCGAAGCTCCTCTGGTAGGAGGAAGAGTGGCCAGATCTTGATTTCGTTTCACACAAACTTCTACTAAACAAACTCGACAACTTAGGCATTCGCGGACCGGCACTAAATTGGATAGAATCATATCTTAAAGATCGAAAACAAAGTGTTGAAATTTCATGGTTAAGTTATAATAAAGAACTTGAGCAGTATAAATCACCGTACCTAATTAATGGATATGGCGTGCCACAGGGCAGTGTACTTGGTCCACTTTTGTGTTTATTTTATATTAATGATATCTCTTATGTAACGAATAATTTATTGACTTTATTTGCAGATGATATTGCTATGCTAATGACATGTAACAAAAAATCAGACATTGCTAAATTTGTAAATGACATTAATAATTCTTTGAAATTTATAATTGAATGTTAGAACCTAATAATTTACACATAAATATAAGCAAAACCGAGTTAATACAATTTTTTAATAAAAAAAATGAAATAAAGCTGAATATTGTATACAATGGCGAACAAATAAAATAAGTACAAGAAATTTCCTTTCTCGGTATACATATGGATACATTTTGGATACATCTAGAAAACCCACATAGAAAAAATATGTAATAAACTTAACCGCTTTGTTTACATATTATTACGGAACCTTACAAAGACGGCATCGCAATCAACAGCTCTTATGGCGTATTACGGATACGTTTATTGTATACTTAGCTACGGTATAATAATATGGGGAAATTCTGTAGACATCAATAAAGTTTTCATTGTGCAAAAAAATGTCTACGTGCAATATGTAATATGGCCCCTCATGAATCTGCAAACCAATATTTATAAATTTAAAAGTGTTAACACTTCCTTGCATTTACATCCTTGAAACAGCAAAATTTGTGAAAAATAATTCTGAGCTGTTTACAACTGCTGGAGATATTATCAAACCTTTAAGGAATCCAGATAAATTAGTCATTGATAAAATAACAAAAACAGTAAATTATCATAGAAATTGCTATACAATGTGCATAAAAGTGTTTAACGCAATACCCAATAATATAAAATTACTACCAAGGAAGCGTTTCGGGAACGAGTTGAAAAAGTGGCTAGTTAATAAATCTTTTTATTCGGTTAGCGAGTTGTTGGAAAAACAATAATTATCTTTAATTTTTTTTAAATAATAATATTTTGGTAATTATATATTATAATGTGACATGAAATTATAAATATTAATGATACGATAATGCAAATAGTAGTAAATGTTTTTTTTAATTAGGTCACATTCATTTTTTTTTGTTTTTGCTATTTATTATGCAATGTATGTATTTTTTTTGTAATTTTAATTCATAATGTCATACTTAATGTTTATAAAATTCAATAATTTTGTACACCAGAAATGGTTAATGTGTTGTACTATATTTTCTATAACAACTGTAAAACACACACATTATGCAAAATAAATAAATAAATAAATAAAATAAATAAATAAAAAAAAGATCTGATTTCGGCTTCATCGATGCTCTCAAAAAAGCTGAGTAGCGGTATTTATTGAGATTTTGTTCCTGGACAGGTGCTTGGTAAATTGCCAGAAACACTTTCTCGCCAGCCTGTTTAATACTCTCAGGTGATGTTAAAAGCCCACTGAAAATGTCTGAGATGTTTTGGGTCAGTTTTGGTTTAGCCATGAATAGCTTAGAAATTCCCACTTTGCTCTTTCCATGGATTGCTGAGGTGGTGTCGCATCCAGAGAAGCTGTGGAGAAGGAGAATTGTCTTGGCAAATGGAAGCTGTTGAAGTTGTCACACTGAAAACAATTTGGTCTCCACCTTTCTACATCCTGGTTTCATAAAGAACACGTTGATATTTGGTGGAGCCAATCCCATGAGGAGGACTATCGAGTCGATATCCTCCACAACATATTACAACAGTTGGATGAACTGAAGCTGACAATAATACCATCAGCATCTCCTGTTGCAACAGTTGTTTCAATCCCTGCTGCTGTCATTTTCTCGGTGAGGAACTGAATCAGCCTAGTTTTATTCTTTTCATTGGCAAGAAAATGCTCCTGTTGAACAGTGATGATCGTATTTTCGTTGACAACTGACGTTTTAGTCAAACTTCGTCGCTTCTGCTCTGCTCGTTTTGTGCTGTTGACATCACTGTAACCATCAAAAACCACCATACAATTTACACCGTAATTTTTCTGTACGTAGGTAATGTACTGATGGCAAATCGAAGAAACGTTGGAGGACGGTTTCCATTTCATACGGTGTAGTAAGAAACCACCATTTACCACATTGGTGGTTTGGTTGAGATCGAGAGCTGCGTTGTTCTCTACTGGCAAAACGTCGTAGAGGGATGACTTCTTCCCTTTTCGCATCACACCCTCATGGAACAGAGCCATGGGGAATGGGGTTAGTTCATAAGTCAAAAGATCTGCAACATCTTCGTCGTTCTTTTTTGCTATGACAGTTCTTTGGAAAATCGTTAAAGGGTTAGGTAACAGTAACTGTCTCACCATTGATTTTAATGCTACTGCTCATACTGGTTAGTGACAAAACCACATTCTTCTTAGACTGCTTCATGTCACTGAATTTGCTGCCAATGAAATTTTGCTTCGTTTTGGTGCCAATATTTAGGGCTTGGTGGCTGTTTACTTTGGAATTTCCCAGGATGCCCGTTGAGAGAGATATTAGCGAATTCAACTTTGGAAATGAGGGATGTTCATTAAACTATTCCCGAATCTTATCTCGATCTTGTGAATCTCTCTGTTGCCGTGATAGCCGGGAATCAACGTGCTGTTCTCCACTAGCAAAAACCATTTGGCCAATACAGAATCTGTAATTCCTCTACCTCGCGTCAGGTCACTTGAACTTTTCATGGAGCGCATGAGATTTTGCTCTATAACCATATCCGACCAAACTCCTGCCCAAGGTGTGCCTGTGCGATTAATGGTAAAGAAGCATTTTTTTTGCAAACTCCTTGTATGTTTGGGGATGGTTGTGTTTCAGTTGCATCATGTCTTGCACGTAGATATGGGCACATTTCGCGTATTGGAAGTGTCCATGTGCATGGAAGAATGGGATTATCTGTTGTACACACGCCAAGTGGCCGTCCCAATCACCACAACGCTCAAAATTAATGTATTTCTTCATGAGGGTAACCATATTGAAATACTGCACCCACAAAGCAGCGGTAGGCCCATTCTCTTTAAGGGTTTCCAGGGAACTCCCAGCTGGCCCACTTCTTCCTGGGGAGGAGCAGAATTCAACCTTTTGACAGTTGTGGATGCATGGAGAGTGTTGGCGGGTGTAATACATTTGATACCTCCCATGTTGTGGAAGGTATTCTGGCTATCGAGAGTGGATACATTAAAGTCAGCATTGTCATAGACAAACTGAATAAACGTTCCAATTGGAATAGACTCTTCGTATGGTGGATGGTGGAGAGCTCTAGCCGCTGAGCCTCGTAATAAGAGGCACTCCATCCCAACTTCGACAGAAGGTCCACCTTGTTCTTGGATCCATATTTTCGGTATATAAGCAGAGCGATGCTGGACAAAATAGGGGATATGAAACATCTAGGTCGAATAGCAGCAAAAAGTGTATGAGCTATAGTTATCATTTTTTTTCACAGTCTCTTGTAACCTTTTTTTCTTTGCAAGGCAGTCTGTGAAAACTGCAAGAGTTTGAGGTATCAATTCTTCAGCCTCCTTTCAGAAGCTAGTTAAAGGAAGATAGGCACTGTTGTCGTAAGCCATAGATTCAATATCTTTCAAGATAATCTCAGTGGCTTTTCGTACAATTCTTTCATTTTTTGCCTGTTCATCAGTACACCTTCACGTGTACCACGCGTCGTTTAATTTTTTTTCACCATTTGCATGAAAGCAGATGTTTGTTTGGTGCGAGTTGTACTGAAAACAATTTTGGTCCCCATATTTTTCCTTCATTCTGGCTTTGATGGTTTTCGCAGTAGGTGGTTCTCCCATAATCTGTCCCAACAAATCGTTCATAGAAAATTGACAGTTATCGTTTTTTTTCAATGTAATCGTAGATTTCGTGCAATGCTTCTGAAATCCCTTCAGCAATGGGGCGCCCAGCTTTTCTTTTTGAAGGTAGCGTGGCAAGGGTGAATTTTTTGTAACAATCCACGTGATATATTGCATCTACTGCATGTAGATCCCCAACAGTGCAGATACGTCTTACTACGTTGTTACCCCACTCATCTTTTCATTCCTGGCCACTAAGAAGCACTGAATTGTGAAATGTAGTCGTACGAACTTTAATAATGGTTCGACGCGAAGGTTTTTTTCTCTCCGCTTCCTCGTCATATTCTTCTGTGCCAAAAAACACTTTGTTTTAAAATCAAACTGACTTTGTCCTGAACGCAAAGAAGAGACACCACGTGATGTCGATGGTTGCTCTGAGAGAGCTTGTTCTCTCAAAAACCTTTTATTGAGTCACTTCTAACGTATTGTCTTCTGCAAGCATTGTGAACAACACCACTCGTCTTATTCCTTAAACATGTATCTTTCCCATCTTTTTTTAACGCACTTGCCTTTATTATTCCACTTATCCCTTTACTTCCGACTTTACACAAGTCCGTTTCGACTACATCATCTCAAATTAAACACTTCTCCGCCATGTTGTAGTGTCACGTAGAAAAAAAATCACAACTCGCGACGCGATGTACTCGTTTTATAACGTCTGAAAGATTTTGGCGCGAAACTCGGCGTACACACAACCACTTCACTGGCGGCGCTCTTTAGCTTTACTGAGATACTGAGTACATGTTACCACGCTCTCTCTCACGCCACTCTCCTGGTGCGTCGTGATTGGTTGGCGGTGCCCTTACACCCGACGCTACAGGAGAGCGCTGTGCGCGCAAGTAGTTTGAGCCAAGAGGTTAAAATGCGAAAATTGATCATAATTAACTTTTTTTCTTTAATATCTCGTTAAATATTGATCCCAGAGAAAAAGTATATAGAACCTTTTCTGTAGAGAATTTTTTGTAAATCACTTGAGTGAAAGAAATTTTTTTGTATGAGCCACCGTTTACGAGTTATTTAAGAAAAACTTAAAAATGGACCTTTACAAGTATTGTCAGTAGCAGCTATCCAAACATAAAAAGTTATGTTTTGAAAGAATGGGGGAGGTTATGTTATTGGATCGAATAAGGATGTTGAGGCCCGTACAGGCAGGCAAGGCTAAAATTTAATTTGTGATATTTAGCCGGGGGACTAACTAGTGGCCTGATTTATAATGATATGTTGGAGGCAAAAGACATTTTAAAGCGAAGTAAAAATGGTACCAGAGAAGGCAAGACTATCTTAAAATGGATCGTCTTCCTTCCGACCAGTCCTCGAAGTAGTTGAAACATTTCTGAAGAAACACAAATAAAAATCAATATAAGACCATGCTGTGCCTCCCTGTGTAGGTCGGTGGTGCTCGTGACAAGACATTGCGTATGCTTAAAAACAATTTACCATGAAGTCACTCTTAAGACCCTTGTATAGAGAAATGAGCGATTGTGACTCATTGCGAAGAAGTGTAATGATAAGATACCTGCTAAGAAGGTACTCAGATTCTTGACGGAATGCAACGTGGGAAGTCAATAAATAATAGTATGTGCAGGAATAAATTTACCACGATTTCTCTCTATGCTTTTTATCTAGTGTCTAGGTTACTTTTATTTACCTGAGTACTGGTACAATAATAATTAAAAAAGCAGCTGAGATGAGCTGGTACGTTATCAGATGAATATTATACGTTTAAATATGGTGTCAGTCAGAACGATTTAAGCTCACCCTTGTTATTTACTTGATTTATGTATGTGTATTGGTGTATGTGTACGTCTGTATTAATATATGTATTCACATTTTATGATTTTTTTATGTATAGAATATCTTCTATATATATAAATTCCATGTCGCATTGTTTGTCCGCGATGAACTCCTAAACTACACTGTCTGGCCAGCTAGTGTATATATAAATTCTGGTTTATTCGAACTTCGTTACCTTTATTTCTCGTTATTAGTTTACTTTTGCTGCACTACCTCATATATGTTTAGCCTAATGGTAGACTGGGAGAGAATGCCTTAAGACATTAAGTCCACCGTATGTACGATTTTTCTTTTGTACATAAAAGTTTAAATAAATAAATAAAAAAATAAATCAAAATAAATTAACCAAATTATCGTAGAACTGCATCGGCTGTCATATCGATGAGACATGTGTTTATAGTATAAGCTATGCAGACGACATACTCGTAATGCTACTCAGTCCATCTATAGGCCATCTAGCTCAATGGTACAGCCCATTAGGGCTCTAGTTTGGTAGGATAGCTTTCAATGCTCCGTGTTGCTATAGACAGACGTGATTATAATTAGAATGAATTCTTATCGACATTAATTTAAGTACCATTATTTGACATTTATTTTATCCTTTTCATGTGATAAGATTTTCCGACATATGCTATAGTATCTTTTTACGACACATGAAATATAATGGGGAATAGTATATAAACCAAATGTTTTAGCCTAATCTTGTGGTAGGTCCTTAAAAATAATAAAATACTGTATAACCTTGCCTCGCTTACTGTGTCTAAGCATATCTTTTAAGATTTTCGTGATTTTATTAATTCTTGACTTCAATGCTTTATCCAGAATTGAATTCAAAAGGCTGATATGGAAGTCAAAAAGAGATTTATAAAGAAATTTTAAAACAAAAAGACAAAAGACAACTACTCTCGTTTTATCAGATGAATGATGATAAAAATAGCAGTCTGTATACGTCAAATGCGATATTAATAAAGTCGTCGACCTTAAGAAGGACAACTCATTGCTTAAAGCAGCTTTAACTGCGAACAAGTGAGATAAAATTTCACAATAGTGCGCTGTCAAAGAAAATTACTATCAGAGCGATGTGTGAAGATAAATTACACGAACTCAAGGGTGGATTTTGAATAGAGGCACTTTTTTACCACTATTAAATATGTGAGCTTGAATGACTGTGGCATTACTTTGTGACATTCTCACAATGTGCTGTAATGAGATTAAGTAGTCTAAAAAAATGATAACATCAGATGAGTTATTACAATTGGCTATATGTTTATGGATAGATAGATAACACTTTATTGTATGCCAAAAATATAAATTGATCAAAAAAGGAGTAAAAAGAAATGGGGTACAATAAGAGTTCTTTTCGCTTAAAGCGACTTCTTTCAAACAACCTTTGGTTCAAATTCTGTCCGGATTGCAAAAGAATAAAGAAAACGTTTAGTTACGTTACGTTTAAGTTTATATTTCTCCCTTCTAGACGATTTCAATAATGCCGATAGATTTCAAGTTTGATCGGCAGCTTTCAACTAGATAGAATGTAATATAAAAGAATATATAAACGTTCT